GCGACGGCCCGCCCAGCACGCCAATAAGCGTGCATAAACTTTTTTTCTTCAAACAACCTTCTTTACACGATAGCTAAGCTAGGCTTGTTAAATCCTCGAAATCTCCGTCTTTACTACTGGCACTTCTAAGTTCTATGTTTGTGAAACCAAACCTACAGTACGTTCCAAAGCTCGTAGAATTATATGAGATGAAACTATCAGTTCAGATAGCATCGCGCCGCTTCGGCGCTTGCCTTCGCATTTCAGGCAATTTGCGTGTCTTTCTTATTGTCGCCTTTTTAAGTTTTTTTTTTCTTGTTAAGATAAAAGTAACTTCAAGGTTATCGTACGCTGCATCGGTTATTTTTCTTCGACGGAAAGTGGGAACCAAAAAGCAATCCAGGAGCCGAGGGGGACATAGACATGCTTAGTAAAATAGCGTGTTGGTTTAAGTCATGGATGAAGAAAGAATAAACAATTAAAACAGGGCCGGACAACACAACTACATGAAAAATGTAGTTGTGTTGTCCGGCCCTGTTTTAATTGTTTATTCTTTCTTCATCCATGACATAGACATGCCGCCAACCTTTAAAAGTCTCTGAGTGTCGCAGCACCTTTTTAGGTAGCTGACGTGGTTCTTTAATTAATACAGACAAGGTAACTATAAACATTAGACACGACTACCATATGAAGATCCGTGAAGGTGATAGAAAGGAACAAGCTATACACAATTTGCGGTTCCCTGGAGGCGCTACCAGAACTAAAGCTCATGTGCCGCCGCCGTCGAAAGCGGCAGCTTTCCCATTTCCTTTTGCTTCGCTGGCAGGTTTTATGGTGTCCATATATCTGGTATATCATCTTTTTTTTTTGTTAGCTATAGTAACCAAAACCGATTTAGGGAGCGACTACTCTTTGCCTGGGAGCAATATTAAACGTGGGTGACCAATAAATAATTCACATGTGAAGACATTAAGAGACTTTGCTTATGTGCTAACCAAACTAAGTAGTGCGTTTTGTTGACCTCTAAGGTGTGTCAAAAAGGGACGCTTTAACCCCGGAATCGTTGCCAATAAGAAAAACGAATAAATCGAAGTATCTTTGTGAGAATCTAGCGAGCTGCTAAAGAAACAAGTGGGAAGTAACGCATTTTGCAATGAAGTCTGAAAGTTGCTTAATAAAGTACTTCCTCTATTTATTCATTCGACATGCTCAGCACCATGCTATATGCTAAAAAAGTGGCATCTCAAGGCTCGTATTATCGTATTGCATTTGATTTTGCGAAAAACTGAAGCGTCGTTCTTCCGCGAGCGGTACAATGCTTTCATTTGAAGAACCAGTTGGTGTCTATCTTCACGTGTGTTGCTAGAACGGAGCGCAAGATCTACAGCTTCGGAGTTGCCAGCGACCGACATCGTGCACAATACAGCACTCTCACTGTTCACTCTGCACGGAGTTGAAAAGTAGCTGGAGGAAAACATTTCGACGTTTACAAAACGTGTACGCATCTCTGACGGAGAGGCGAGTGAGTTCAAAAATATGTTTCAACTGTACGAGGTGGCGAAGAGACAAGTGATGACCTAATTTTTTTTAGGCTACGGGACACGGCAAAAGTGCGTGTTATACGGTGGGGAGAGTCCTCGAGCACCAAAGCCTCCTTGCAAAATCTCAGGTAGTCAAAACTGGAAACCACTGGAAGTGCTGATGATTTTTCCCGCGTATTGACCCCGAAAGTCCGTGGAATTTTAGTCCTCCAAAGTGAAGCAGTACGCCTCTTCCAACACTAAAAAAATAATGATTTTTTTTTCGCCTTTTGTGAAAAACATTAAATCCGGCCGCTTGTAGATTAAAGTTCATAATAACGGGTCTTTCAGGGTTGTGATAAAAAATTAAAAAGTGAATCCTTAAGAGTCGTGTTAAGCTCAATTAAAATCACTTTTCTTTTAACACCATAAACCTTACTGTGAACTTATAATACTAAAAATGCTATGTATTGCTATTTATTTCCCCCGTTTTTCTGTAGGATTTTTTTATAGCCTCACATAAAAAGAAAGTCAAGAAGTCTTGAACAAGCCTCGCCAGTATACGTGACGCAAAATTTCGCACTCTCCCGGCCACGTTTTTGAAAATAATTTATCACGCCCTTTCATTGTCCCTTCCTTGATACGTTGTTGATGAATAAATGAGTTTTGATGTCTCAATGTGTTTTCCCCCCAAATATAGCGGGTAAACTGAATTGTACATAGTTTACGTGACCTAAAGTGTTCCGTAAATTCAGCGGTGAACCTGATTTTCTCTGTAGGTCCCGTGACGTCAGAGAACGTTACCTTATTTTCCCGCCATATTTAGCGGGAAAACGTTTCGTTTGCACTCACGCCCTCGCGATACCAGGGGAATGGCAACTAACATCTCCCGCGGTAGAAATGTTGTACAATGCTCAAGTTATGCCTCACCAAGCTTCTTTCCATCTCGTATGGGTGCAACTACAATGCAAAGCAAACTTAACCTTCTTCGTACAAAAAAAAAAAAAAATTAGAATATAGCTACTCTCAAATGGAACGAAAGCATAGCAAACTATTTTTGGCGGTTACGCATCCTAATTATACTTTTTCCTGTACAAATTCAAACTCACCTGCCTTTACAGATCTGCTCTACTCACAAGCAACATATTTTGGTACTTACAATTCGGAATCTGAACAAGTATTGCACGCTTCATAATACACGACATACAGAAACATGGTTTGTCCCGACATCTCGCACAACGTATGGAGATACATCAATAAAACTCAATTTACCTGAATGAACAAACGAATAGATCTCACTAAGCGTTCCACGCATGCGTGACATCGCCATGACTTGAGTTCACAAGAGGCAGGCGGCCGTGCACTAGACGGCTGGTGCCGTCTCGTGTTCTGCACGCGCAAGGCTTCAAAGGGGTTGTCCCGCGTGCAGAGAGACCGAAGTTCCCTCGATGCAGTGCGGCAGCGGCGGCGTAGAGGAAAGTCGCTGGTGGGATTGGTCTATTGGTAAAATATCATGTCATACATGAAGCTGTCTAAAGTGACGAATCATTTGAAACGGAGGAGGGAGAGAGGGAAGGCGGAGAGAGGAGAGGGGTGAAAGGAAGAGATGGATAAAGAGAGAGGGATAGAGGGCGGAGGGAGAGAAGGAGAGAGGGAGAAATATAGGAAGGAAGAAAGAGAAAGGGAAGAGAGAAAGGAAAGGAGGGGGAAGGAAGGGGGATTGGTGGAGCGGGGGGTCAGAGACGGGAGAGGAAAGAAAGAGGAAGGAGTGAGAGGGAGGAAAGGGGATAGGGGGAGAGGGAAAGAGGAGAGAGAGCCCAACCACGCTCGAGGCTGCGTTATCAAGGGCTGTAGTAAAGAGTAGCTCGGTAAGCGCCTCACGCATAAGCGCATGACAAGCACTCTCCCATCAGCTTGTAAGCGCCGGTTGTGTAAGTGACGGTTGGTTACGCTCCGTTCGCCTAAGTGTCGGTCGCGTAAACTCGTAAGTGCTGGTAGTTGAAGCTGACATGATACGACGCCCTTGACGTCTTCCTTGACTTCGTCCTAGAGGTCGACCTAGACGCCGTCCTGGACGTCTTGCTCGATATGTACACGGCATATTACAAACATTTCATCATCGTACCATTTACTTTCCTGATTGTTTTCGGTATCGATATTCCTGTAAAGCAATTGCATTTCCTCGCGTTTCGTAGAATCAACAAAGATGCATCAATTTCCAGCATTTGTAGTATGGACCGACACGCCCATCAACAACGTTGCTATCTTAAACCACCTCGCCTGTGCTCTGACTAAAGCTTCAACACATCCTGCATCTCTCATTCATCAAATCACGAAAATATTCAAAAGTCTCTAATGCCTGCTGGGACATTCAACAAATCGTTTCCAGACACATATCTACATTGAAATGTCCGTGCACCAAAATGTCCGTGCACTGACACGTCCCTGTATCGAAACGTTTGTGCACCAAAAAATGAGCACCGAAAAATCCCTAACCGACACGTCCTACACCGAAATGGTCAAATCCCTTATTCGGTAGGAGCCTGGTTGAAATACATTTTTATTGCATGACAACAGAGCCCCAACTGACGTGAGGACGAAATACTTGGAGGAACCCTGCCTGAAACGGCCTCGCGAAGGCACCAAGCAAAAAAGGAAATAGGTAAGAAAAAGTGGGCCAGTTCTGAGGGTTGCAGATAGGTGCCCGAGCCTTCCGCTAAACGGTGCGGTGGAAGACGGGGTCCAGGCTTGTAGTTTGGGTGTTTGTTAGATTAAATGTATATCTTGATACTCCTGATATCGTGTCATAATTCACTTCCAGAACTTCTCTTATCTAAACGGACTGCCGCCCGTTGCGAGCTCTGCCCAACAAGCTGTAGGACATAATAGCTGATGACGACGAATATTTTCGCAAAAATATCACGTGAGCCGTAGTCAAACTATGTGTCACCTAAAGGTGGGTTATGTATATGCCGCATGTTAAGCATGTATTTGCTTTAATTTGGTGACTAATACAGTTGTGCAGCCAATAAGACGTAGGCAATAATTGAGGCAAGCGTCCAATAGATGCATATATGCCGGAGCCCCAAACGCTGAAGCAAATAATAAGTACAGTGTACCTAAAAACTCTCTGGCTAAGCCATGGTCATCAGAAAATAATTCACATCTAAAACTTGCGAACGTATTGCGTCATGTTGTGAACAAACAAAAAAGCAATAGTCGGCTCAATTACACTTGGCATGGCACCGCATTTACCCATATCCTCTAACATTTAGTGTTTGTTGGTGTAACGGTGTTCAGCACATCCCTATCCTCATTTTATATGAAACAAAATTATAAGGAATGATATTGTAATAAACAAAATAATTCTACTACGTCTATACAATTAACACTGCATTTTATTCCCATCACCGTAATACACCTCTGTGAAACACATCTATCGGTGTTCTAAATGAACTATCGGAACTGACGTCTCGACCTCGCTGGCCTCAGTCTGATGCTTTAATCTGTGCAACTTTCGTCATAGGTGTAAAACTTCTGCTTTGTGCCGCAGAGAAGATCGAAGATGAAATCGCAGCACGTCGCGGTCTTTCCCAAGGCGCTCTCAGGGAGGTAGAGTGTGCACGCCTCATCTGCAACGTTCAAAAAACCGTAATTGGTATTTTAGTGCCATTTCAATAAAAAAATTAGCACAAATGTTATCCTAATGTCAAACACTTCTGTAATTTCGAATCAGTAGAATAATTCAACTTATTTGCGTCGATTTGCATTCATCATTCAAAATATCCTTCCACCAGAAGGAATATGACAAGGCAATCACCGAGATCTCCGAGGGACATTAAAGAATACGGTAAAAAAAATAAAAAGCTTAACATGGTTTACGCAAAAGAAGAAAAAAAAACCTTCATATTCAGTGCATCGGTGCATATGGCGTTTTCGAGAAATAATTGGCTTCAGAGTCTCGTAATTTTTTTGTTCTTCGGGGGGTCACGTGACCTCGGGGGGGGGGGGGGGGGGGGTTGACGTGACCTCGGGGAGGGGGGTCGCGTGACTTTGGGGGGGAGGGGGGTCACGTAACCCCCCCTCCCCAAGGTCCTCCCGAGGTCCTTGGGTGGGGGGGGGGGGGGAGGTTTGCGGTTACGTTGACGCCGCTCAAGCCGGAAACGGACGCCTAAAGGCCTGTCCAAACAGGATACTACAAAACTCACGACTCCGGCAAATCGTGCCGCGCTCCGCTTCCGGCCGTCGGAGGGAAATTTCCCTCCGTCAAAGCTCCCGGGGGGAAACTTCCCCCGGTCAAATCTCCCCCTCGCTTCCTCCACGGCGGCCTTGCTCTGCTCATCACGTGGGTCCGGAGAGCCACTCACACGCTCTGTTGGCTGTCGGTCAATCGCTCAAGGCCTCCGCTCACAGTACGGAACCGCGTCGGACGCCATCACGACGAAAGTGAATCTCGACAAAGAAACCAGATCCGAAGCGGGCGAAACGCACCCTTAGACGCAGGAATGTCCCAAATCCACCCGAAGCCGGACCCCCTGGCCTTTGAGCCGAGGCAACGGCGGTACGCGAGGTCGTTGGCGAGGTGAGCATGACGCAGGTGGCGTGTGATGTCAGAGAAAAGTGGAGGAGGCGTGGAGAGCAGTCGTGATCGTGAGAATTTTCACGATTCCTGCAAAAATTTTCACGACTCCGACAAATCGTAAAAATAAAAGCGTCCGCTTAGATTTTCACGATTTGTCGGAGTCGTGCGTTTCCTAGTGTCCTGTTTGGACACCCCTTAAGGGTTGCGCTCTAAAATGACGACGTACGTGTCAAATATCGACGAAACCCGCAATACATGCGTTGCATGAAATAACATTCAGCAGAGCAAATCAACAGCTCAATAAAAGTCTTGTAGTTTCACTTTTCAACTCAGAACCTAAACCTGACTTCAGGTGCCAATAAAAATTCATATGGGCTACGCCAAATTCGCAGCTTAAAGGGTAACTGCAAAAAAAAAAAGGTGTTTTTTATACAGCCTAATTGGGACAAGCATGTAACAAAACAAATGTTCCGCGAAAAAAAAAAATTTTTAGCAATATTTACGTCACAGGACGAAATTTAGTCGGAGTCAGAACATCTCCACATTTGAAAGTCCCGCTCTTTCGACCCCCGCGGAGGAGAACTACGCCCCGCCCCTCACTCTTGGATTTGCTTTTTTGTGTTGACTTGGCTGCTGAGTAGAACGACGCAGCGTATCGACTTCCGGTTAGATCTGGCAACAACGCGCGCTAAACATGGCGCCGTTATTGTTTTGGTACGACGGTACACTAGAAGCTGTGGGGTTTGCGAGCACATAGCGAGGACGTGACCGGAGAAGTGCCCCTGTGATGTTCTCGGAAGACGGAAAGTATCATTCGTAATCGTCGTGTGTGCTTTGAAAGCGAAGGGAGTCACAGGGTCCACGAGTGTCCAACCACAAGCCAACGTTCACGACAGCGCTGCGTTGACTTCGGCGATCTCGTTCTGTTTGGTGAAACACGGCGATGCGACAAAAAACTGAAACGTTCGTGGTGTGTGTGGTGCAGTGCTTGGAAGTAGACAGTGGAAGATTCCCGACGCATACCGTGAGTAAAAAGCTGCGGGTGTTTTCAACAAAATTACGTCGTTTTAATTGAACAATGAGCTCCGAATTGTTGTCCTAAATGTGCCGTTTTTATGCTTCGTGTTGGACTGCGTTTGCACAGTGACGTGTTGCGCTCATCGTGCGGTGTGAATAAATTTGGGCAAGATTCCCTACCTGCCCCCAGATGCATGAACTGAGACCATTTTTTACACAGTGAAAATGGTGCTTTTTTTGTTATTTTGGGAAGAGGCGTTGTGCATTTATTACGGTACAATCACTTGAAAGCAGGGTGTTGGAACGAAATGTTTTTCGTTCCGTTTTCATTTTCGTTCCGTACAAAAAAGTTCCGTTCCGTTTCCGCTCCGGAACGAATAATAAATGCTCCGCAACGGTTCGTAACAGTTTCTTTCTATGAAAAAAAATCGCAACAAAAATTAAAAGGAACGTAACGTTTATTTTTACACCAAAAATAGATAATTCAGGCGCTCTAGAGGAATCCGCGGAAACGACATTGCTTCTGAGATCATGTTCATTGCCTTGAGAATGAGATCATGATCAAGGCACCGAGCATGATCTCAGAAGCAGCACGTCATCAAGTGTGCTCGGTGAAAGGCAAGACCTCTGGTCCGATAAAATAAATTTCAGCGCCGAGAAGGCCCTGAAGGCCTTTAGGGATGAAGTACACTTTTGCAACAGAGTCTAAGACTGCCGTATCCGTAGAAAAACGAAAGATAGACTTCTACAACGCCGGGTCACAAACTTCCCGCGCTTGCCGTGATCTGTTGTCTGTCTGTGTCGTCAGAAGAAAGCATGGAGGAAGAGGGTGCAAGAGCCAAGGAGAGCATTGCGAGCGTGTGGAGGCGTCGCGCCACCGCGCTCTCATTGGTGGGAAGCAATGGCGCCTTGCGTCATGTTTTTTGTTTCTCGTTGTATTTTTGTCTTTGTTTTTGCTATGCTTGTTCGCCCGGAGTTTAGACGCGGGAGCGATGGCTTGCTTGTCTTCTCTTTAATTATTGTACAAACCAACGGCTGTCTCTTCGCTGCGTGAAACGAATTACTGAAATACCTGATATTTCCCCTTGAACCGAAAACCGATAAGAACATTTTTCGGTTTCACTCCGGAACAAAATAATAAATAACGTTTCGATTACGTTTCCGTTCCGCCCAAAAATATCGTTTTTTTCGTTTTTCGTTTTTGGTTTTCGTTTTGTTCCGATACCCTGCTTGAAAGTTCAGAAATTGAGGAAGGCGAGCAAGCTTCTCGAACTCTGTCTCCTTGCTCCCTGGCACTGCCCCTAGTTTCAAGTTTCAGTAGACATACCTACTAGCAGGTACAAACTGCTCTAAAGCAGGTAAAATACTGGGAAGTCGGGACGGTGCGGACTCCGTGTTTCGCGCTTTTCGCAAGGTGACTGGGGAAGTGCTTTTGCAAGGTATGCGGAATATGCAACCGATTTTGCTATGCCCGTCGTTTGCGTCTCTCCAGCAAAACGAATACGATAATCTACAAAGCCGCGATCACAAGCCAAGATTTACGATAACGGTACATATTCATTCAGACAATTTACGTAAGATGGTTCGAAAGCCGAGAAAATCTGTTGGCTAACACAGAATTCGAACGTCCGAGGGCTTCTGCGGACAGCTATTACGTAATCACCTGGCTGTGCCAGGTTTTTTACGTAACAGCTGTGTCTGGTCGTGGACGTTTGATGCACCCCGGGCACCCGGTGCGAATCTCGACGGCCTCCGGAGCGATATGACAAGAATGTAACTGGACACGTTTGTCGCTACGCGAACGCTCGATTGCCTCCAGCCAAATAGCATTCCTTTCGGGGCGATATAGCTGCTGGAAGGCTCGCTGTCGGGATCACTCATCTGACATCTCCGAAAAGTCAGCATTTGAACGCGCAAGGAAAAAAAACAAAAAAAAAACACGCCAAGCAAGTTAAGAGGAAAACGAAAGAACCGCGCTATGAAAGCCAAAACCCCGCATCGCTTCCTATCACTAACACCTCCGACAGGTGCTAAACACACACTACTTCACTTCATGAAGTCTCACTCAAGCACCTGGGTCAGCACGAAACACTGATCACTTCGGCGAAACGATTAGTCGAGGTAGGCAAGAACAGCGCCAAGACAGGCGGGAGCAGAGACTTCGGCGGCCATGAAAAAATGGCGAAGCTTTTGTTTGTTATGGTATGAATCCAAACGAAAGTGCCCGTCTTGTAAACCTTTTGTAAAGAATAATAACTTTCATTACATGGGTTATTCTTCAAACGTAAGAATATGCCGCTCAAAAGGAAATTGCAACATATAACAAATGTTTAACAACCAAGATCTAAGCTGCCAATCAAACTCTTGGCCAATGAGAAGTATAGCTGTCGATTGAGATTCAACGTCACGGAATCCCAACTTCGTGGCGAGCAATTTAAAACGGGCGAAATAGCCGCAAACTAAAATCAGTCTCGCGCAATAAATATTGCTGTAAATAATGTTTTTTCTCACGGAAAAAAATTTTTTTTTTTTTTACATGCTTGTTTCATTAGACTGTTACCTTTTAAATCATCAAACACGCCGACGTTTTGAACAAGCTCAGCCTCTCCTCAAGACGTGAGCTTTTTTAGATGCGGAGCATCTCTTGCTCGGGTCTATGTCCCGCGGCGTCGTAGTCCGCACTCACACTACACATGCGCAACTCTCCTCCTTCCCTCTCTCCAACAGCTGCGCGTTACTCTCTCCGCTCTCTCTCTCTACCAGCTGCGTGCACTTCGCGTGCGTTCGCTTCTACTCACACCGCGCGCGCATGCGCAACTCTCCTCCTCTAGTCTCCTCTCCTTCAAGTGAAAATATAAGCAGCGGTAGCGCGCTGCGCGCGTTCAAGGGCAGAAAGTGGCCGGGTGGGCTAACGCGTCTCAGCTCGGAGCGTTGTGCAAAAACTTGCACTGGGAACCTCATGGGTTCGAGTCCCCGCCGCCCCCGCCCGTTTCGATCTGGATGAGTTTCGTACCGGCACGCGTTCGTGTTTTTTCACATTGTGAGCAGGGCACGCGCAAAGGTAATAACACATTAAAACTTTGGTTTCGGCTATTTGGTCCATGGTAGGTATAAGGTTTAAAGGCGCAAACATACAGGGGCGATAGAAAATAACACAAGCGACAGGGACAAGGCGCTTTTTAAAGGGCCTATAGTAGAATAAATATGCCTCATTAAAACTTGGTTTGGGCTAATTGCTTCATGGCAGGTATAATGTTTAAAAGCACAAAAAGCCAGGCACGATAGAAAATAGCAGAAACGACAGGAAGAAGGCGCGACAGGGACAAGAAAAATAACACGAACGCACACTAATGAAGCTCTGTGTAGGTCCTCGAGCTAGAAACAGATAACAAAGGCTGGGCTCTTGTTTCCACATAAACGCATTGCGTTTTAAGGGGCACTGATTCCTACATTATATAGCTCGATCTTAAATCACATCACATTTCCAGGGGCGTGGATTTATATATATATATATATATATATATATATATATATATATATATCAGGGTGTCGAACCGGAACCGAACCGAACCGAAAACCGGAACCGAACCGGTATTTTTTCCGGAACTGAACCCGAACTCGAACCGTTATATTGTTATCGCGATAAACCCGAACCGGAACTGAACCGGAAAAAATAACGGTTACCGGCTCATGTCAAAACGGTTCGGCCACGCGCTGTTGACAGTGAATGTGCTATCAATGCAATTTGTTTTTTAAGTGCCGTCAACTGACACACACCTCGCTTACATATTTTTCTTCTCCACTCAGTCTTAGGAATATAAACGCTGCATCCATGAATCTTGACAAACGCTGCATTCATGAATCTTGACATAGGAACCAGTATTGCGCTGGTCGCGGCTTGCACGGAAAAAAGAGAATTGGAAGGCTGTGCAAAAAAAAAAAAAATATATCGCGTCACGGGATTGTATTTTCCTACAATCTCGTAAATCCTAAATGCTGCTGTGTGCTCATTTCAGTACATGTTTCTAGAAAGCGCGAGTTCTTGAAGCTTGCTTCCATCGGAATGAGAAAAAAAAAAGGCTGTCGAGTTTGATAATGTTTGAGGGAGAGAAAGAAATTTTATTTACAGTTGAAATGAGCATTCATGAATTATATCTGCTCTTCGCTGACCCAACCCCCGGTCAGAGTATATCGAGCTATGAAGTGTCAAGATTTACATGCCGTATTTTTTCGTACCGGAAACTCGATAAATGCGGGGGAAAAAACAGGGATACAAACCCTAGTCGCTCGCGGAGAAGCGAAGCTGCGCGCACTTTCGAATTTGACAAAGGATCTGCCGAGCTTCTGTTGCTTCCGTCGCCTGCCCAGCGTAGTCATGGGACTCAAGCGGGCGCGTGCGCTCAAACCAACGCTCAGCAGACGCTGGAGTTAGCGCCCGTGACAGACAGCCCTGTCATCAGACAGTCGTTGTTTGCCGCTTGCATTAGCTACAGGCTTTTATAAACGTTATACACTACTAGTTTCGACTACTTTTCATTTGTTTTCATCGGTGCCCGTATTATACATGAATAAACGCGCCAGAGCGAATCGAATTCTACGTACGCTTGCCGTGACCCGTACACCTGTGGGGTGTGCACCCTCCTCTTTTTTTTTCTCTCACAAACACGCCGTTTGTCTGTACTTATTTTGCGCTGGCTTTCCGACGACGCTTTATTTGTAATTTATTTTGATGTAGCAATTTGTCATTTATAATTTCCGAACCGGTTCGCGAACCGGTTCAGCGCCCCGAACCGGTTTGCGAACCGGTTCGCGGATCGAATTAATCGAACCGGAACTGAGCCGGAACAAAATAAATTTACCTGAACCTGAACCGTAACCGAACCCGTATTTTTTTCGGTTCGACACACTGATATATATATATACTTTTTCAGAATGTCCAGGCGGAATCATGAATTTGGGTAAAGAATTTGGGGCATCTTCATTCGCTTAATTTCACTTGTGCATATCCCACCAGAGATCTTTTGTTCAACTCGTAAGAGATCTAGGATGTTCGGCAGTCATTATCTCATATCGATAGGGTGATACTCCGCCTATTATTCCCATGCGTTATCACTAATGCGAAAAGGATGCCCCGTTTAATTTACTACAAGTGTGTGTAAAGCTAAGCAGACGAATATACCGGGATTAACGAGGATATTGATTGATTACAATGCGAAGAGCAAGGAAATAAATTCAACCTGAGTGCACCCCCCCAACACACACACACACACACACACGCACATACACACACACACACACACACACACACATTGTGGTAAATATCTATATCGGAATTACAGCCCAAAGTTCAGAAGCAATTCACTCAGTTACACCCAATCGGATTTATTAAACGTTCTTATTAGAGCCTCGTAGCGGAGGGCGACGTGTCATAGCTGCCTTAACTTTTTCGCTAAGAGATTGAGCTCGCATATTTCGACGTTTTCTTCGAGAAATGTGAGATGCCACTAAAAAAATTCTAGACATATTTTCAAAGTTACCCCTTCCAATTCTAAGACTACTCCTTGATGCAGTCGGGACGCCAATCATTAGTATTATTTGTGGCGGTTCGATTAAAAATGGAACGATTGTATCAGGCCTTCCAATGCATAATGTTTACATACTGTGCGATTAGTATCACTGTTTCAACAAAGAACCATCATTCACTTTTCAAGAGGATCTCCTTCAGTATGTAAACATACTGTAGCAGCATCCAGGACTGCATACTTTGCAAATTTTTTTAATTGTCATTTGATAAGCCAGTAAATAGGATTATTGAGACGATGTTGCTCTTTTTTGGGGGTTAGCAGGGTGTTTAGGCGTTGATGAAACCTGATACGATGTTAAATATCAGTTTTCATATAACTCCTTAACACGAAACTTAAAACCCATCAATGCGAATAAAGTCACTATTGGTTCGCGTGCATTTACAATAATAATTTCGTTTTTTTTTTTTCTACACATGGATTTACGAGTATGCCATTCAGGTTCCAATAAATGCGGTGTTTTCAGATGTAGCATATTGCGAATTTACTTTGTTCACGATAAGGAGCCATAAAGCATATTAACTTATTGCTTTATTAGAGCAATTCAAATGTAGACAGCGATTGGACAGTACCTCTATTGGTCGAGAATATCATTTTCAGTACAGTTTAACACAAGCAAACGCAATGAAGTGCTATGGTGCTATATTGTCCTCGTAGGAATATTAGAGGAAATGTTACGTTTAATTTTTTTTCCTTGGCAGAGTTTTCAGTAGAAAAAAAAAACATTTAAAAGGTTTACAACCTCACAAAAAGACTTACCACTGATGTAGTTGTTTCTGAACACCAGACACTGCTGGTGGTGGCAATCTAAGTACGCGATGTACATAAGCAGTGAACCGTTTTCTGAAAAACAAAACAAAGAAAAATTGGTTGGTTTCCAAAAACATATTTTTTAGAATTTGATTAAAATAAGTATTCCAAAACATTGGGTCTCCAATCCACGCTGTGAAGGAGGTTGGTCAGCGGAGCTGTGGGATCACCTGCAACGATTGCCTACTGCACTATACGAAATGCCGCCGCCGGTCGCTGCACGCCGCCGCTGGTCGTATTGCCGTTTCTTTTCCTTTTGCCGCTCCTAGTATTCACGCTGCTCCTCGGGAATCCTAACAGCGCGTGTCCTATTCATCGCGGTGCTGCAGCAACAATGAAATCAGTAACTCTACTCCTCGTCATCTTACGTTTTACCGCAGTGGATGTTTCGAGCCATCGGAGCCAATCAGAGGCGGTGTGAGTGTCACTTGACCTTAGACGGGGCACAGCGACGCCCGGAAAGCGCATCACGGGCCACAGGACGGGATTGGCTAAGATAGCTCGTAGGCATCCGCTGCGCCCGGAGGTAAGGTGAAACGGGGTATAGGCGGGTTCTTGTTTTATATATGAAAGGCTAATGACGTCACTCCCCACGTCGCAAGCTGCCGTCGCCGCGGCAGCTTGGGCAACAGTAATCTTCACCGGGTACGTATGCGTTGAGCGTTACGTGCTTCGCATTGTTTCCAGGAGCTCCTTATCATTCGTTATACGAAGTGTCTAGCTTCGCTCTAAAACGACTTTTAAATGTATCCTTTTTGGTAAGACATAGTAACCCTGGAGCTAAGGGACAAAAAGGGACGGACTTACACGATTTGGACGTAATCTGGGTTACGTCAGACGTAATGTCCGACCGTCCAAATCTCCGCCTTCCCTAGGTTCACGGGGGAGAGAGAAAAAGGCGGGGGGGGGGGGGGGGGGAGGGTTGGGTATACGGGTTTCAGTGCTCCTTCCGGACGTAACGCTAGCCACAGCGTTCATTATATGGTTAGGATGCTTGTTTTGTGCTCATTCTTTACTGAAACAAATGCTTTGCTGTATGTTGTATGCGTGCTGTCTGTACTTTTCGTTTCATTCTTCTCAAATCTTTTTTTCCGTGAGAACGCCGACACGAAAACACACGCGGGGAGAAGGAACGTGCTTCTTATTGTTCGCAGGTGCCGTTATCATCCATTATGTGGTTTTCACTTCACACGAGGGCTTCGAATGACGTCAACCCCGAAGCAGCTGCAAACCTAATCTTTACCGGAACGCGTGGGAGGGTGTTCCTGTTGTTTACATTCGCCTTATCATCCGACATGTGGTTTTGATGCTTTTTTTGTTAATGCTTCTTTTGTGTTTCGCTATTGAAACGGACACTGAGCTGTAGGCTTATATGCCTAATTTTAAAGGAGATATGCTTTTTTGCCTTTAATGTTTTGCCGGGAGTTTTTTCTTACAACGCCAACGACGCGAAAATTTCCTTGGATGGTAGAGGTATACAGCTTCGCTCTAAAACGACTTTTAAATGTATCCTTTTTCGTCGAACCCTGGAGCCAAGTAACAAAAAGGGACGGACTTACTCGAAACTCTGTCGGTAGTGTCTGTCCGTTTTTTTTTGTCCCCTAGTTCCAGGGTTACTACGTCTATCCTTAACCAGCTCGCCTGCCTACTTGCTTTAACTTCCTTTCTGGTGACGTATTACACCCCAGTATTGCGTGTTGACATTCATACCTCACAAAAGGGGCTGCAAAGACGAGCGATACGTTACGTAACATGTCCATGTAATATTTCAACGCTTAGCTGTCCGGGTTTTATCAGCCTAGGTACTACTTTATGAGGGCATACTTACCACCCTCGACTTGAAAGTATTCCAGATTATTTGTAGCATATCCTTCAGACGCCACTGGGGTTGAGATTACCTTCCTGTGGAGACAACGTAAGTAAACAAATGCATATTTTGAGTGTATATAACTCAGTTTGACAATATATCCGACGAAACGATATACAGATGTAGTTTACGTGCTCTTCTTCTAAACACCTACGTGCGACATTGATCGTAGGCGTGTTGGTCTTCCAGCCGTCATCGGGCGGCTCCTTCGCCTTGAGCACAAAGCGATATTTTAAAAGAAACAGTTTTGTACTTGTATTTACCTCCAGGAGGACAAGACAAACATAGCTGGTTCATTGATGTATTTAATACGTTGAATATCAAACTGCGTTAACTGTAAACCTGAGTCAGCACTTTGTGTGACCGAAATTTCACAAATATTATCCCAAAATCCTACGCCGTCAAAGGCTTGAAAAGACGACAAGCACAAACTTTAGTTGAATACATTTGAGCATGTGCATCCGATTTGGTCATGCACACGGTATTTCACACCTTGGGAGGTCGCTTGTTGTCATCATCGCTTCTTGTTGCCCTCGTTTGTTGTAGTTTCTCATCGTTAAGCGCCGTCGTCGTCGCTATAGTCCATCAGAGCTTAAAAAACGCAGGGTCTGGCCAGTCCCGTCAATCTCATCATTGGTTCGCAGCCAATCAGAATATGGCATTAGCCAATAGGAACACCGAAGAAGAAGTCACGAAGAAGGATTGAGTGAAGTTAATGGGCCACACCCTGCATTTCTTCTTCCAATGATTATAACATTGCTTGTCATTCTCGTCGGTTGTCCACGTCGTGTTTTGTCCTTGTTTTTTTCGTCGTCATCGTTACTTGTCGGCATTCGTCACCGCCTGTCATTGACATCTGTCGTTGTCGCCTTTGGTCGTCTGTCGTGGTCGTCGTCATCCGTCGTCATCATGTTCTGTCGTCGTGGCTCGTCATTGCTGTCGACACTCAGCACTTCCGCCGTAATTTCACAAAATAAAACGTTGGCTAGTGCAGTAAAACTCCAAATACATCCTTTTCATGAACTAGCGCCTACCAAGTCACAGAGGTACATCCGTTGTCGGAGCAGGCAGAGCGACTGGCCCGAAGCTTCCAGCTGCTGCTTCCTTTAAACCACTTACACTCTCAAAAACATTCTCACTTCCAGAAGCTTCTAGAAGCTTCGCGTAATCTCTTACCCCAAGCGTAAAAGTTCAGGAAGCCAGAATCACCTTTTCTAGTCAGTCTCGCCCTAGCTCTTTCCCAAACATTATAGGTCGAATATCCTAGATGCCGAGAATAGTAGATAAAGAGCCGAGCGCCATATTGCCGATTCGTTTACTGATTCTTTCTCACGATAGCCAGTTGTTACGCCGACGCACCGTTGCTCGCTGCTGCCGCTATCGACGCTCGCTGCTTATTTCTCCACGTGTATTCTTTCTTTGTTTGTTTCGGGCAGAAATTCGACAATTAAACCTTAATTTTCAAATTTTTGTTTATTGTCTCGTTGTTTTCATCTGTGACATTTCCTCGTGAAGGTGCAGGCTACCGCAACCCATGAAGCGCAGCTCTCTGATGTCCAGCAGTGCTAGACCGCTCCCCGCCGAAAGGTGACTTCTTGAGTAGGAAATCGTCACACGAGGAAGCCTCCGCGTTCAAGGCAAACCCCCGGAGTTTAGTCTCCTGCCAGCCAAGAGCAAGAGCAACCCGTCGACGAGACCAGCCATCAGCACCCAGTCGCCACGAAACTCGACCGTTCCATCCATCGTCTTCATGGCTGTCGTCCTAAGCAGTCCGATGCCATGCCATGGTGAGGCTCACGAGGATGCGGAGGACTGCCTCCAGCATTATGAACGTATAGCCAGTCATAAGAGATGGGCCACAGAACAATGCCTCCAAAATATATAGCTCTCCCGGGAGAAAACTCCGAGGCACTGGTTCGAGAACCACGAGGCTTCGCTTACGTCGTGGGAAACCTGCGTTACCGAACTGAAGTCCACATTCACAAATCGGCATCGTAGGCAGCGGGCCAAAGACCTTCTACGCGTGAGGACTCAAGCACCCAAAAAAAGATCTTCACCAGCTTTCTCGAAGATGCCCGGCGGCTTAATACCCGTGCAGACCCTCTACCCACCGAAGAGAAAATACTGAGCGCACTTATGAGAGGCGTGAAAAGTGACATCTTCGGCGGCCGCGCCCGCAACGCTACCAGCGAATGTCGAAGGGTTAGATGCCGAAGCAGCAAACATTGAACGGGCGCTAACGGCCCGAGCTCGCCACTACTATCGGCTCAACGACGTCTCAACTTTGGCATTGGTGCGCTCCCAGTTTAGCGCCAGCGCCGACGAGCTTCGCGAGATCATCCGCGACGTTGTTGGCGAAGAACTCAAGAAGATGGTGTGTGGTGCCGACCCCCCGCATCACTCTCCATCGCCGAACTCGTGCGGAAGAGCTTCAGGGAGCCGTCGAACCACGGGCTCCTGTCAACCCTGTGCCGCTCGCTTACGGCACAGGGTTGACCGACTCGCTTACGTCACAACAACGACGTGAACCTCCGGTTCCGCAGTACGACCGCCCAGATCAACCTTCGCCAAGGAAAACGAACGTCTGGAGGATGGCCGACCGACGCTTGCTGGGTTTCCATTACTGGGAAGCCGACCATGTGTACCGACAATGCCCTTACCGGCAGGTCGGACTTCGTGGGCTCAGACCGGTCGCCCCTGCCCAAGGAACGGAGAGCGACCTCGTGAAATCGACGAATACCTCCGCCGGTCGCCATCTTCGGGACCGTCTCCCCGCCGCGGCTTCCGTTCGCCGTTACCCCGCCGCCCAGCATCAACTCCAGGCAGTTCTCGCTGTGAAAGCCTGTCACCCATTTTTCGCCAAAAAAACAAAGAGCGCCAACCCCTGGAGGTGGAGTTGCCGTAGGCCGACGATCTAAAGATCCTCCAAGAACTCCAGAGGGTTCCCACTGTTGCGACCCCACGCGTTGAAACGACACTTCTGCGACAGTGCTCAATAACCTCAACATTGTCATCGACGGCCACGAAGCTTCGGCACTCGTGGACACCAGTGCGGTCTACTTTGTATTGAGGGAGACACTCTCCCGAGACATGCGGAAATTGACGACGCCATGGGACGCACCTCAAACACGAATCGCCAGAGGGCACCTCATTACACCAGTTGGATGGTACACCACTCGCGTCGAGATTCACGGCGAGAACTGCCTGGTGAAATTCGTCGTTCTAAAGGACTGCGCGAGGAACGTTATCCTCGGGATAAACTTTTTATGCGAATAAATTGCTGTCATCGCCTTCGGGAAGAACAATTTGTAGCTCTGAAAACCTGCCCCAAGATCTGAGGACTCCCAAGTAACGGCAGTTGCGGTCCGAGTCCTCGCCGACCATGAAAACCTGCAAGCAGATTTGGGCACTTTTGTACTTCCACTGACCAATGCAGCCACATGAAGGGAGGATTTTTTGGAAGGCAGCGTTGAACTGATCCTGGGAGGAGCAATTCGAGTCGCAAAAAGTATTGCGTATTTTCAAGAAAGACGTCCAGCAGCTCTTATAACGATCTTTAGACAGAAGTCGCAAAACCTAACGAAGGGTACCGCCGTGACCGTGGGCCACGTCGAGAAACTTCAAGCATCATTCGCCACCATTAGCCCTATCTCCGAGGAACCTTTGACGACACTGTCCAACAGCACACCGCCTTCGCAGGTTGACGTGAACCCCGAGCTGCCCGCTTCAGAACGGCGGTGCCATAGTGGAACTTCTCAGCAAGTTCAGCAAATGCTCTTCATAAAGAGCCGAGTGCCGTATTACCGATTTCGTATTGCCAGCAAGTGTCGTACCGCGTTCCACGGGGTGGCGTCCGCTTCCAGAATACCTCTGGTGGGATACATTCGTTTACTGTGCAATAATAGGACAGATAGGGAAGGTCAGAAAGCCAATGTGGAGTGGTGGAGTGGTCAGCTCACCCGACCGGACATTGGGAGGCCCAGAGTTTAAATCTTGGCTCCGCCGTTTAGTTTGGTTTTCGGAGGGTTCGTAAAACTTTGATTCTTTTATTCATTAGAGTAAGTACGGCTCATTCATCTGCATATGTTCGTTTACACACATATATATATATATATATATATATATATATATATATACACATATTGGCACATATTCACACACATATATATATATATATATATACACATATTGGCACGGCTTATTTCCTGGCTTCTCCAAAGTTCTCTTCCTCGATCTCTGTCCCGAGCCCCGCTTCTTCCCTTTTTTATTTCGCCGTTATACTCGCCCCCCCCCCCCCCTCCCCTCTATGAATAGATAAGAATCGATTTCATGGACCGAGTTCAGGTGCATGGTGTGTCTGTGCCGATCAACGCGGGACGTAGTGCTTAAGGTGCCTACGATGTGCCGTGAATGTTGCATTTTTATTATGGGGACTGCCAGTAGAATCACAAACTTCAAATGTCATGGGACTCAGCTGACGAAGAACCTCACAAGGACCTCTGTAGCGTAGGAGGAACTTTTCAGCCCGGCCTTTCTTTCGAAGAGGTCGGCGTACCGAAACCCAGTTTCCACAACGTACAGGAAGGGGGGGGGGGGGGGGGGGATGATGGAGCAGTGCGTTCCTGAGTGCGCACCGGAGCTCGCAACATGGAATCGCGAGCTGTCTTTTTCACGGTTTGGAAATGGCGTCGAGAGCTACTTGCAAAGTCCTCTGCTCTTAGCTTCCAAACGGCATTGTCACCGGATTCGCAGGGCAGAACTGGTGACCGTCCATACACTCCTTGGAAAGGGGTAAACTCGGCTGTTGATTGCTGAGCACTGTTCATTGCAAAGGCTGCTTATGACACGAGTTCGTCCCAGTTGTTCTGTTGTTCGTTCACGTAGCTCGCGAGTATGCCGCTGATGGTGCAGCTGTCCCGTTCAACAAGACCAAGACCATTTGTTTGCGGATGGTATGGCACTGCTTGCGCGTGATGGATACCATGAGCTTCCATTTCTCTCGCCAACCGACAGGAAATGAAAGATGAGGCGCGAT